CTCTTCCGCAAAATCAAGGCTGCCGAGTACACCATCCCCGAGTGAGTACAGCCTTCCCCCTGAGGGAGTACAGCCTCCCCTCTGAGTGAGTACAGCCTGCCCCGGGGACCTGCTGGGCCTTACTGAGACAGCTGGAGCTGGAGGAGCTCCCATCAGTGCCCCGAGGGTCGCAGCAGTCCTGAGAACAGGCTGTTTGTGGTGGACACTGAGGAGCAGCAGATCTGGGACAGCTCATGGGAAGGGGAGGTAGGTCCCGAGCTCAGGGACAGGGAATGGACCCCCTGGTTAATTTGGGGGTCTCAGGGTCAGAGCAGTGGTGGCTCCAGTAGCTCCTGAGCTGTGCTCCCAGCACATCCATCCTGCCTGCCCCAGGCTCACCATGCTCTGTCCCCCAGGGATGGCCGGGTCTCAGAAAACACTGTGTGCTTGATCCGGAAACTGCTGGTCCTGGACCCGCAGCAGCGGCTGACAGCTTCTGAAGTGCTGGATTCCCTCAGCTCCATCATAGCGTCCTGGTACGTGCACGGGGAGAGCCAGGACATGCTATCTCTGGCCACAGGCTGTGTTGTTCCAGCTGTGGCGGGCTCAGCTCACCAGAGGAGGCTCTGGGAGCTGCAGGAAGTCTTTGCATCCCATGTCTCTACCACCGGTGTGTGCTGACGGATACAGCTGGAGAGGCCTGTGCCAGTGCTGGTGGCAGCCATGGCCATCCCAGTGGGATCACCCAGGGCTGGGTGAGGGTGGTCAAGCCGGTGCCACGCTCTGGATGCCAACGCTGTGCTCTCCCCCAGGCAGTCCATGTCCTCGCTGAGTGGCCCTTTGCAAGTGGTGCCGGACATCGATGACCAAGTGGCTAATCCTGAAAACCCCCAGGAGGTAGGTTTTCCTGCTTTCCTTTCCAAGGAACTGCTTTTCCGTGCTGCTGTGCCAAGTCTGTGTGTAATGGGAAGGGATGGCAGCCCTTGTGCCCCTGAGCTGGGAAGGGGAGGGCAGGGAAGATGTGGCTGAGTCCTCATCACCCTGTGCAGCGGAAGGAAAGGGTGATGCTGCTGGGACTGGGAGTCACATCCAGCTGGCCGAGCTGCCTGGAAGTGACTCGCTGGCCCCAGAGCCGGTGAGGGGCAGCTCAGTCCACTCCCAGCAGTGCTCACTCCCTCACACAGCTGGGAATGCTGGGAGGAGGCAGCGGGGTTGGCTCTGGCTCCCGGTGAGCTCCGCCATGGGAGCAAACATCCTGTTTTCCTGTGTCCTGTTCCATGCTGGAAGTGCTGCCATGGCCTGGCTGCCCGGGGGCGGCCGTGCAGGGTGTGCAGCAGGGATGGGGGTCAGGCAGCTGCAGCCCCAGGGCCTGGCAGGGCTGGGATGAGCCACACTAGGACAAAGGTCTGTCCTGGTGACACCGGTGGCTCACAGGGAGTCCTGCTCGCGTGCCCAGCACGAGGACCCCCGTTATCCCCTGGTAGCCCAGGCCCATCGGAGGAGCCTTGGGGCTGCGGGCGTGGCTCTGACAGGTGGGTCTCTGCAGGTGAAGGTGACGGAGGAGTGCTCCCAGTACGAGTTCGAGAACTACATGAGGCAGCAGCTGCTCTTGGCTGAGGAGAAGAACACCTTGCATGAGGCCAAGAGCTTCCTGCAGAAGCGGCAGTTCGGGAACATCCCCCCGGTGCGGCGCCTGGGCCACGACGCGCAGCCCATGAACCCCCTGGACGCGGCCATCCTGGCCCAGAGGTACCTCCGGAAGTAGCTCCCCACGCCCCGAGAGCACGAGCACCACCCTGCAGTCTGCCTTCACCTGCCTGCTCCAGCCTACAGCAATACCGGTGTCCCACGACGGGGAATTATGTAGCAAATCCCAAGCTCTGTCCAGGGACACGCACTCACACCCGCTCCGGAGGGAGAAGACTTTTGGAAAAGCTAGTTTTGGAAGCAGCAAACCTCTTGGCATCTTCTGGAATCTGTTTTTTAAAATCGAAGCCTAGATGACTAATCTGCTTTTAATCATGACTGTAATCTACCTCTCTTGTCTTTTTAACCATGCTGTTCTCTGGACCGAGCAAAGCTTGTGGGAAAGGAGGAGACTTCCAAGGGTGAAGCTGCTGGCACAGAGCAGCCCCGTGCGGCGCCCGCTCCGCGTGGTCTGAATAAGCTTGGATTTACCAGGGTTTCTGGAAAGGAAGAATTTCTTGAAACCTCCCACTTCCCTTCATCTGCATCAAATCTGTTTCTGTCCTTACGTGCCACCCGGTCTGGCCGTGCTGACCAGCCCTCAGTGGCCATGTGGCCACTGCTGCGACCGGAGGGCCCGGCCACCGCCTCGGGCAGGAGCCGAGGAGTCATCCCGGCAGCACCAGCTGCAGGGCTGGGATCCTGTCCCAGCTTGAAGGTTGCACAGGACTTGGCCCCCTGGGGCCTCTGCCCCCTCTCCCCCCTTTCACTGATTCCTTTGGTTTATAAGGATCTATGATTTAATCTTATTTTTCAGTAGCTTGTCCCAGGTGCAGTTACAGTTGCATTAATTCTGATTTAGCATTTTCCCCCTCAGTTGTGGTACAGATGTAATATATGAGTTATAATGTGAAAAGCTTCCCAAAGTAATCCACCTAGAGGTAGGAAGGGGCAGGCTGAAGTGTCTACTGTATTTGTTCCCAGCTTTTCTTGCCATCCCAGCCCAGAACTGGGGCTGCCTCTGCCCTCCCTGCGTGCCCAGATGGGGGAAGGATGTCCTGGTTTGTCACCTGGTGCCACTGGAAGAGTTTTGGCCTGTGCTGAGAACAGGAATGATTGTTTCTGAGCCTCATTTATGAACTGGATGCCTGTCTTGCCAGATGAACTGTTCTCACACAGATCTCCCAGGACTCCCCGTGCCAGGGCTCCCGCTCGAGGCAGCGGCTCTCTGGCTGCCTCCTTCCCTGCTCCCTGCTGCTCCCAGCCCTGCTATCACCCTCCTGCCAGCTCTGGGAGCAGGGAGGGGCAGAGCTGGGGGCCTGCCCTGCTTTTTGGGGCTGTCCTGCTCTTTGGGGCCAGCGTGTCCTTTGGGCCCAGCCCTCCCGGGCAGGGCAGGGAGCGAGTAGCAGATGTTTGTAGCGTGTTGTTGCCTTCTCTTGCCCCGGGCTGGGGAAGGGGACGGGCTCTAAGCTGGGCCACTGCACGGGTGGCTTTGTGGGGACGGGGATGGACCTGAAGCATCCCCGGCCCCGTCGGGCATTACGTCCTGCCTGCGCCTCGCCAGGGCCCCGTGGGCAGGCAGGGCCTCGTGAACACTAACACAGACCAGCTCCCTGCACCGGCCCCAGCTGAGCCAGTAGCCCCAATTCTTTCGCCTTATTTATTTTGAAGATGATGGGTCTGTCCCAGCACCCCCCAGTGTGTGCCACCAGCAGCAGGGCAGGGACCCCCTGAGCACCCCACCAGGGCCCTGTTCTCTCCTTCTGGTTCTCTCCTGCCTTGCTCCCACCTCTTTATTTTTGTCGGGTTTTTTTTTCCCCAAAGTTAAAGCAAAAAGCAATATTCTGGGACTCCCTGAGGCTGTGTCACACCAGGATCCTGTGCCCTGGGCAGCACCGGTCAATCCCACTTGTGCTAAGGCAAACTGGAAGGGGGTGGTGTGGGGGCAGGACGGGGGGGCCCAGGGGCTGCAGCGGGACAGAGCCTGTTGTAAGGAAAAAAAGAAAAAGAAAAAAAAAGAGGAAAAAAATTTGTATAAAGACGTTATTTTTGTACTACATGGGAACTACTCCTGCATGTCGGCAATAAAACTTCATACGAGAGCCCGGCGACCCCGCGGGGAAGGGGTGGGAGGGGAGTGGGATGGGGGCCTCTCTGAGCTTGTCCCTCCCCGGGGTGGCCGCTGGGGACAGTGGTGGGATGCGGAGCCTCGTGTCCCCGAGGTCCGGCCAGGGCTGGCACGAGGGAATCCGAGCCCCTCCGACACCTCTGCCAGGGGTGACAGGGCCGGGCACTGCCCATGGCCGGGCAGGCTCGGGGCACGGCCGGGATGGGGCGGCTCCGCAGCCGGGCCGAGCGCGGGGTCCCGGGGGAGCGGGACGAGCCCCGGCCCCGCCGAGCCCCGGCCGGGGCTGCCATTGGCTCGGGGCGCGCTGACCGCCAGCCGCCTCCGAACTATTTCCTGTTGCTGCAGCGTTAATGCTAAACAGACCTTTCCCTCTCTTCCCTCGCTCCAGCCAAAGTGCAGCGGCTCCGCCGCCTTCCCGCCCCGGTGAGTACCGGCCCCGGCACCGCGTGGGCTCAGGGCCGCGGGGCACCCCGCGGGACCCCGAGGGCACGGCGAGGGTCGGGCTCTGCCCCGACCCTGCCTCAGGAGCTCCAGTTCGGGGGACGTGGGGCTGGGGGACACGGGAGCAGTGCCGGGACACGGGGCTGGGCGCCCGGGGATGGAGAGCTCGGGGCGTGGGATGCAGCGGGTGAGGACGCGGGGCTGGCGGCTCGGGGACGCTCAGTGTGGTACTTGGGGACGCAGCGCTGAGGGACGCCGGGCTCGGCCCTTGGGGACACAGGGCTGAGCGCCTGGGAACACCTGGGGACCCTCAGGCCCTGCATCAGCCCTGCAGTGCCCTCACCAGCACCGTGTGGGGCTCTGGGGCCCCATGGCGGGGCTGTGCCCCTCCAGCCCCACAGCCTTGGCGGGGCAGGGCCGGCCCTGCAGCCGCTCCATGGGGAGGGCACCCACCCCTCCTGGGGACCCTGCTGGCCTTGCTTTGGGGTGTCCCACCAGAGGGGCTGCCCAGCCCCGGGATGTGCTGCAGCCCCACAACCCTGGACTGTCCGGGATGGTTCTGCTGATGTGTCACATTTTCTGCATTTCTTTCCTCATTCCTCTCTCCCTGGAGCCCTTTCTGGGAAATGAACTCGTCCCTTGCCAGGGCTAAATTGCCTCCCGCCCTGTCCATGCCCTGCCCGCTGTCCTGCCTCCCATCCTTCCCACTGCCCTGCTGCCCATCCTGCCCACTGTCCTGGTGGCCTTTGCACTGTGCCCGTCCTTGTCCCTGCACTGCAGAGCCCCCGGGAAAGGGCCAAGGCTGGAGCTGGGCCAGAGCCGTGCAGGGACGAGGACAGGGACACTGCCCTGACGGAGTGTGGGGAGCACACGTGTGTGTGTGTGTTGGAGCACACGTGTGTGTGTGTGTTGGAGTACACGTGTGTGTGTGTTGGAGCACACGTGTGTGTGTGTGTGTGTGTGTGTGTGTGTGTGTGTGTGTGTGTGTGTGTTGGAGCACACGTGTGTGTGTGTGTGTG